TTCATTTGTCTCTAAATATTTTCTAATTTCTTTTGTGATTTCTTCTTTGGTCCATCGGTTGTTTAACAGTGTCTTAATTCCCACAAATTTGTGAATTTTCCAGTTTTCCTTCTGTTATTTATTTCTAACTTCATCCCATCGTGATTGGAGAAGATACTTTGTAAAATATCTGTCTTTTTAAATCTACGGAGATTAATTTGTGGCCTAACGTGTTATATCCTGGAAAATGTCCAATGTGCATTTGAAAAGAAAGTGTATCCTGTTGTTGGTAGAGTGTTCTGTATATATCAGGTATTGAATTCTCCAACTACTACTGTAGAACTGTCGATTTGTCCTCTCAATTCTGTCAGTTTTTGCTTCATATATTTTGACGGTCTATTATAATTGTTATATTTCCTTGCTGTATTGAACATTTTAATAATACATAATATCCTTGTCTCTTGTAACCTCTTTTGATTTAAAGTCCATTTTGTCTGACAGCAAGAGAGCAACACCTGCCTCTCTTTTGGTTATTATTTGCATGGAATATCCTTTTCCATCCCTTTACTTTCAACCTGTTTGGTGTCCTTGTATCTAAAGTGTGTCTCTTGTTGACAGCACACAGTTGGATGTTTTTTAATCCATTCTGCCAATCTTTGCCTTTTGATTGAAGAGCTTAATCCATTCACATTTATTATTTATTATTATTATCATTATTTTGGCAGCTGGTTAGTATGGGGATCCAACCCTTAACCCCTTGACCTTGGTGTTATAACACTGTGTTCTAACCAACTGAGCTAACTGGCCAGCCCCACATTTAAAGCAATTACTGATAAGGGGGGACTTACTTCTGTCATTTTGCTATTTGTTTTCTACATGCCTTAGAATTTTTTTGTCCCTCATTTCCTGCATTACTATCTTTTTTGTGTGTTTAATTGATTTTTTTGTAGTGAAGCATTTAAATTCCTCTCTCATTTCCTTTTACGTATATTCTTTAGCTATCTTTTTTGTGTGTGGTTACTATGGGGAATACATTTAAAAATCCTAAAGTTATAACACTAATATGAATTTATACCAGTTCAACTTCAAAAGTTAACACCAGTTAACTTTTGTTAACTTCAATAACAAAACTTCTCCTTTAACAGCTCCATCCCCATTGCTTTCAGTTGCTGATGTCACAAAATTACATCTTTCTACATTTTGTCCAAAAACATAAACTAATAATTATTTTAATGCATTTAGATTACATAGAAATTACATAGAAAACAAAATATGGAGTTACAAAGGAAACTTACAATAACACTAGCTTTTAGACTTATAATTTTCTTAATGTATTAGTCTTTGAAATGATATAGAAAACAAAAAGTGGAGTTCACATCATTGTTACAAGAATACTAGCTTTTATAACCATCCATGAATTTACCTTTATTGAGTATTTATTTCTTCAGAGGCTTCAAATTATTGTTTAGTATCCTTTTATTTCAACCTGCAGGACTCCCTTTAGCATTTCTTTCAGGGCATGTCTAGTAATGAACTCTCTCAGCTTTTGTTTATGTGGGAATGTATTACCTTCTCCCTCACTTTAGAAAAACAATTTGCAAGTTACAGGATTCTTGGTTGATAGTTTTCTTCTTTTAGCACTTTGAATATTTTCGCCCACCACCTTCTGGCCTCCAAAGTTTCTAATGAGGAATCTGCTGATTACTGAAGATACCTTGTGATAAGTTGCATTTCTCTTGCTTTGCAGTTCATTATAACACGAGTTGGGTTCTCTTTCAGTTCATCCTCTTTGGAGTTTGTTGAGTTTCTTGGATGTTTATGTTCATATCTTTCATCAAATTTGGGAAGTTTTTGGCCATTATTTCTTCAAATATTCTCTGTCACAATGCATATATTAGTCCACTTGATGGTGTTCCAAAGGTGCCTTAGGCTTTCTTTACTTTTTTCCAATCTTTCTCCCGTCTGTTTCTCAGACTGAACAATTTCCATTCCCTTACCTTCAAGTTAACTGATTCTTTTTTCAGCCTGCCCAAATCTGCCTTTGAATTTCTCTAGTAAATTGTTCATTTCAGTTAGTGTACTTTGCAGTTCCAGATCATCTTTTTGCTTTCTTTTTAGGTTTTCTATCTCTATTATTATGTCCGTTTTGCTCATACATTGCTTTCTTTACTTTTTCTGTGTCTTCCTTTGGTTCTCTGAGCATCTTTAAGACAGTTGTTTTAAGTCTTTTTTTCTCATGGATTTGTCATCAGGTCTTCCTCAGGGACAGTTTCTGTTGGTTTATCTTTTTCCTTTTAATGGGCCATACTTTCCTATTTCTTTGTATGCCTTGTGATTTTTTGCTGAAAAATGGACATTTGCATTTAATAATACAGTAACTCGGAAATCAGATTCTCCCCTTTTCTCAGGGTTTGCTTTTTGTTTTTTGGTTGTTGTAGGTGGTCTCTGTGGCAAGGATCAGCCCAAGGTATAAACTTAAGGTCTTCTCTGAGCCTTTCCCTGTGCAAGTAAAATCACTTTCTAACTTTCCCTGTTAAGTGCAGATGTTTTTGAATATCCTAGTCCTTAATGTTTGGCTTCCAAAAAGGGAAAACAAGCAAAATGGGGGTGGGGGTCAGTGGGAAACAGTGCTGGCCCTTTAAATCCTCTGGAAGTCACTTCAGCTGAAGGGGGAGGTGCAACTAGAGTGGCTGCCCACCTCTTTGTCTGCACCTCTGAGATCAGAAGCAGAAATCAGCAAACAAGATCCCTGATATTTGGAGGGCAAGGTCCTTTTTGCCCAATCTGGCTCCCACAAGCTGTGTGCAGGCTGCTCCAGGAAAATGTGTACGGCTGCCTATGAAGGGGCTAGGAGTGGGGGATGAGTAGCTGCTATTGTGCTAAGAGCTAAAATTGACCAAAATTAATGCCCTTTATAGTCCAAGCCTTCCACTGAAAGTTGCGAGCCTTCAATAGACTCCAGAATTCCAAACTAGTTACATCAGATAGATTCTGGCAGTGCAACTGTTTAGGTGGAGACAGATTCCTGCTGCTCCCTATTCCTCTCTCTTCTCAGAAGTCTCTCTCCACTTATGAAATATTTTACTTTTCAGAAGGGCATTTATATTAAAAATGTTTTATTTTTTTGTCACAATGTGCTGTAAAAACAGTGTTTCCAGTAAACTGGTAGGAGATTATAAGGATCCATTCCTGGAAGTCACTCAATTTGCTTCAGGTATGCGGTTAACCAAGGAAGTTAACCAAATAGTCTTTTAGGGGTGATCTTAGCTATGGAAATGGTTAATTTTGGAATTCTTAATCCAATGTGTGTAAAGTCTTTCTAAAACACAAATGTCATCCTATTAAAAAACAAACAAATCAAAAACAACCTTCAACATCTGTGCATCCTACAATGAAAAGAAAACGTCTAAACTATTAAGAATGTTATATGATACACGTCACAACATGGTTCTAACCTAACCTACCTTCGTCTCCTTTTACTTTTACCACAAGCCCTTATAATCTTGCCACACTAAATTATTTACCTGTTCCTGGAGCAAGAATCCTACTCTTTTGTGCTTGCACGCTTGTTCACCTGATGCTTCCTCGGCCAACAGTGTCTCTTCTGCCCCATTTTCATTTTCAACTGCACTCCTGCTCATTTTTCAAGTTTTAGCTTAATTGCCTCCTCTGAGAAACCTTTTTGTCTCCTTCTCTGAGAAATCTTTTCCAATGTTTCTAGGCAAAATGAGTGACTCCTTTTCTCAGGTTCCATAATGCTTTTTATTCAACTTTGTTAAATATTTCCTCAGCAGTTAGGTGAGTACCCTGCATATGACACATGTTGAATAAATGTGATGGCCTGGACAAGAAATAACAGGCATCCAAAAACTAGGAGTAATAAGACACCCATATTTCTTAAATCCATATAGATGAATTTTTTTTTTTTTTGTCTTTTGTCTTTTTCCGTGTCCGGCAACGGATCGCAACCCTC